TGAGCTGCTGCTCCCTGCCCCCTTTTCCAGAATAGAGCTGCACCATTACAGCTCGGACCTGCTAAAAACATATGTTTTGGTTCTGATTAGGGCTGCACGATAAATCGCATGCGATATTTAACGCGCATCTTGTCAGAAAGCCGGTTCTGTAATCAGCGGTAAATCTCCATCACCTGCGGGCTTTCACATTGCCCATAAGATGCGCGTTAAATATCGCATGCGATTTATCGTGCAGCCCTAATCAGAACCAAAACATATGTTTTTAGCAGGTCCGAGCTGTAATGGTGCAGCTCTATTCTGGAAAAGGGGGCAGGGAGCAGCAGCTCATTTGCATTTAAAGAGACAGGCCCGAAAGCGTATTTCTGCTTCAACTCAAAATAAGCATTTTCAAAATGATATCTTAAAATTAAAAAATGTAGCCTATTAGTAATAGTGAATGTTGAAATGAACACACTCTAACAAGGAACAATACTTCCACAGTTTTTATTAATGCTACAAATGGACTCTTATTGTTAAGTATTACAATTTAATTTCAACAGTCACGCTTAAAGATAGCCATCTTTAAATATATACACAATGCCATAGCATTAAAATTACATACATATGGATAATGTATGTGTACTCACACTTTATTTGCTTCTATTTTAGAACACTTGATGATTATCTAATCCAAAAAAAAAAAAAACGTTAGTCACACACCGGTCAAAAGCGCAGCGCTGTGTCTAGGAGAACTCACAGGTATCACACACACACTCCAGACGCATCACATTCAATTCAAGTCACGGTCTAAAACAGTTTATTTAATCACCAAACAGACTTAAGTTTGCTTCAAGAATGAACAATGTGGCTTGAAGTTTGAATTAAATGAGTTTGAAATAAATGAGTTTGAAGTTCGATGTTTAAAAAACAAACAAACAAAGCAAGCGGAAAGAGAAAGTGCGATCTTTTACAGGTCTCTATATGAAGCATACAGACTTTATTAAAGCCACAGAAAGACAAACATTTTGCTGAAAATGCACAATACATAATTTATAGCCTAGGGTGAAGTCATTATGTACATTCACAATGATTTTGAACAAATATAATGTAATTTAATAGAAAACTATGTGAATGGTGCTCTGTTCTGCGGCAGGATTTTCTTTCGGTTGGATTTAAATGCGCGCCTGGAGTTTCCCTCTCTGTGCAGCGCGCAGTGTCACATGTCAAAATAAACAACATGTGCTGTCAGTGATACACCTCTAGAGGCAGCTCTCGTGTATAATGCCAGCTTCTCTGCCACTCCAGCAACGGACGCAAACCGGAAAACTATCGGCATGGATTTTTGCCAATAACCGATAGTTCCGGCGAGCAACTATCGGTGGCGATTAATTGGCAAAACCGATGAATCGGTCGACCTCTAGTATCTTATACAGTTTTGCTTCTCAGTCTATTTATTTATTAATTTACTTATTTATTTTGATACCTTATTGTAAAATAAAGCAATGATACTGAATAAGAAAATGACATTTAGCAATGTAATTTATTTATAATTGATCAGCGGTACTTTTACTTTTTAACGTGGTATTGTGTCTGTAATGTTAAAGAATACAAGTTAAAGGTCTTTTGCGGATTGGAATTTATAAGGGAATTTTGCACAAGCTCATTGAGCTAATGCATACTTATAGAATGAAATTTGTGCAAAGATTTCTATATCCTGTCCATGGAGAAAGCTCTCCGTTAGCATTCCCGTTCATCCCAATGGCTTTTGCTTGTCTGGTGTACTGACATATATGTTTATGGGCACTTTGTTCTGGACATTGAACTTTTTCTTTGTTTGTCTGAGCCATTCACCCGAGGAGTAAATGCCATGTGAAGAAAAACGATGACCTGACAACTCTTCACATATTTACATTCTTAGGAGCCTTCCAAAAAACAAGCACTGGCAAAACAAATATCACAAGATTTCATATAATGTATTACATATGTTGCTTGCCAAAAAAAGTTATTGATCAGCTTACAATTCCCATAAATCAAGGAGAAATTGCTTTAAAAACCCATTTCATCTCTATTCATGGAAAATACCTGTTTTATTTTGAGTGATGCACTAAGAAGGATGAAATGAGCATTTAAGTTTTTTCTTGTCTTTGATATGTATTATTTAAGCTTCTTTGATTTTTGCCTTTGCAGAGGGAAATTATGGCCTTAAAATGGAAGGGAAAATGTCTAACCAGTCAGGCCAGTCCAGTCGTGCCGACATCAACAATTCCCAGAACTCGAGTGGTAAGTTACATTGAAATTTAAAAAATCTTTCACCCTTGATATTTGAATCTCGTGAAGTGTTTGCCCTTTGCTCACAGTGATATTTTACTGTCATAATCAAAGGACTGCAGCATCTCTCTGCAGACCAACCTCCAAAAAAGATGGTAAAAATAAACTTGTTTTCCCTTTAAATTAAGCGTATCTTTTGCAACTTATCTTGTTTAAGGATGAATAGATGCTTTTACTGGAAAGTGGTTGTTTCGTTTAGTAATGCGCTCTACAAGGACTCAACTGTGTCTTCACTCTTGAGTTTACTAAAGTTTTTACAATGTCTCTTAAAGGGCACATATTCAACACTTTTTCTTATATGTCAGTCAAGGTTGATTGCTTCAAAACAGTCATAATTTAGTTTTTACATTTTCCAACCAAAATTAAACAGACGGATTTCTATGGTGCATTTCAGTGCTTTCTCTAGCTATAATGACCTCTTTTATGAATTGGTAACCTCTTCACTTGTGAATTGAGTAACACTGTTTGCTTAACCGGTTGAGGGTTCATTGCGCGTGTGTTGCACAATCTTTCATTTGCCAAAGCTGCTTTGCATTGTAACAGATTCATAAAACATTCTGTACAGAAATGTGCTGTTAAAATCAAACTAAATTATGAAAAAACAGTACACCATTTGGCAGAATGATCTTATCATTTTAACTGGAGTTGCATCGCTACAAACTGGAAAATGAGATTTTTATTTAAACATGAGCTTGAATTGTTAAAATATGAGGCTGGAAATGGCCTCCAGTTTACTGCAGTAGTGAATTTTAACACAAGACAACACAGAACACAAACACAGAACACATAAGTACTCTATAGAGCAGAGAATAATGCTACACTACTCGTACACGACCATTTACATCTAAATACTGCAAATACCACAAAAATGAGAGCCTGTTCTCGCTTAATATCCTTCCCCTTTGTCAGAGGTGTAAAGTGTATATATAAGTAATAAAGTAAAGTGACTAATAATACGAGTAAATGTAATGGATACTTTGTAATTTTACTGAGTATCAAAGATATTAGCAACTTTTACTCTATACTTCACTACAGTTTTGAATAAGTATCTGTACTCTGTAGTCCACTACATTTGTAATAAGTGTTGTAGTTACACAATACATTTTGAATGGCACCTAGCTTTTTCTGCAGCAGTTTATTTCTGCTACAAAAGACATGGTACTGCCTACTACTACAGGGCACCGAAAATACTATATCTTGTGCGTTTTGCCCTTACTCACCCAAACTTGTCAACAAGACTACATTACGTGAACGTTCCTTAGCAAGTACTTGTGAATCACAGGTGTTTTATATATGAGAAGACATGACTGCAGCTGGCAATAAGGCCGAATCCAGCACATCCAGGCTTTGACTTTTTAATTTTAATTTTACTTAACATTATCTTATCTATCCGCTATACTGAAGAGGCCTTTTTGAAGGATGTTGTTGTTGTTGTTGTTGTTTTGTTTTTTGCAATTTTGAGGTACTCAGTTTTATTTTGGTTTTAGAAAATAAAAGATTGCTTTCTTCGAGTCAACTCTTTCTTGTTTTTGTTACATGTTCTCTGTGCCTTGTCTTGGACTTTTTTTGTCACTTCCTGTCGTCCGGGGTGTTTGTAGTCAGTTTGTAGTCTGTTTGTTCATTGGTTACCCTTGATTAGTTTCCCCAGGGGCCTGTTTCATAAAACAAGTTTACCAAATAAGCCAGATTTATTTCAGTTAGTCTGGCTTATTGTCAGTTTATTTGGTTAAAAATAAGTCAGACTAACGTACTCTGTTACTAACGTAACCTCGGATCCCTGAGATACGGGAGCGAGTACTGCGTCTTGCTTAAGGCGCTATGGGGAAAACTAATTTTTCTCCGATGACTGAAGCCTTTTCAATAATGCAGTGTAACTGCACGGCCATTGGTTCGTGCAGTGAATTACAAACTAACCAATGGCTCGTCAGCGGAGCTGCACGAGCCTAAGGCAACGAAGCCCGCCAGAATGGGCGGGTCCATCTGGCTATATAAGCGGGCATTTCGCCATAGGATCCTCAGGTTACTTCGACTGAAGCGACGACTGAGTCGTGCAGCTACATAGCACGGCCAGCAAAGCAGTACTCATTCCTGTATCTCAGGGAACCGAGGTTACGTTAGTAACGGAGTACGTTCCCTATCAATACTTCGCTCGTACTGCGTCTTGCTTAAGACGCTATGGGGAAACCAGTACAATCCTGCCGTGCTATGCTAGAGGAACGACAATACTTGAACTTGCCTTAAGCAACAGAAAGGGGCCCAGAGGGACCAAGTATTGTATAACCAAGTATAACCAAGGCGGGTTGAGCCTCCTAGACCCCTTCAAAAACCGAACAACTAGGTTGTTCTTGCCCACCTATTGGCCAGTTATAGGAGCGTGAGAGGCTGCTATGGCTTCTACATAGACCTTGAGCGTGGAAGGGGAACAGCCCTTATCCAACAGCTCTTGCAGGAATGACAATATCAGAGATGTGACGCAGGAAATTGGGTCTGCGCCGCGGGCTGTTCACCAGGCGGAGAAGACAGACCATTTAAGGGCATAGAGTCATCTCGTAGACGGTGCCCTAGCCTAAGAGATTGTATTTAGCATGCTTTCGGAGAGGTCCGCAGGCTCACATCGAGAGGCCAAAGGTGCAGAGCCCACAGCTCTGGCTGTGGGTATTATATTGTTCTGTTCGCCTGAGAGAAGAGGTCCCGTCTCAGGAGGATGGGACACGGGGCTGCAGAGAGCAGCCGAGACAGCTCTGCGAACCAGTGTTGATTCCTCCAGAGCGGGGCCACTAACAGAACCCTGTGCTTCCGTTCCCTGATTCGCCTGATTACCTGTGGGATCAGGGCGATTGGGGGAAAAGCTTAAAGTGGGAGGTTGGGCCAGTCGTGGGCCAATGCATCCTTGTCCTTCGAAAAATAAGTTTGGCAATGAGAGTTGTCTTCTGAGGCGAAGAGGTCGACCTCTGCCTTGCCGAAGATCTCCCAGATTCTGTGAACCATTTGTGGGTGGAGTAGGGATGTAACGCTTACCGGTTTGACGATAAATCATGATAAAATTCCCCACGGTTAGTATTATCGTTTCATCTTTTAATTATCATTAAAACCGTAATAGATTACCGCGATTTGAACAACTCGCGATAAATAAATACTGTCGAGCATAAAGCACAGTTTTAAGTAACAGTCTCACATGCACACATCAGGCAGAGTAGTTTTTAGAGGTTTTAGAGGTTTTAAAAGAGTGCTAAGGGAATTATATTATGAAACTTTTTCAAAGCTTTATTTGAACATTTACATATATTTCAACATGCTATTAAACTGTTGTCAGTCAAGTTGTCATTTAAACTCCAAACATCTTTTGTAATGTTATTGTTTTAGTGATTATGCAAACAAAAAGTAATTTTATTTGTTGTTTGTTGATTTTTAAATATAAAACTTGAAGTGATTTATGTGTCGGTACTTTTTGAACATCTCCAGCACATTTTAACAATACCGTGATAATACTGATAACTGTGATAATTTTGGTCACTATAATCGTGATAAGAAATGTTCATACCGTTACATCCCTAGGGTGGAGCATCCACTCATCCGAGGGGACATTGCTCTGAGATAGCATGTCTGCTCTCTGGTTCAGCCTGCCCGGCACATGCGTTGCTCTCGGTGAATGCAAGTTGAGCTGAGCCTATTCCAAGAGGCGCTCTACCAGAATGAAGAGGCGCTTCGAGGAGAGACCGCCCTGGTGATTTATATAAGACACCATCGTCATGCTGTCCGAACGGACTAAAACGTGGTGTCCCCTCAGGTCTGGCAGAAGGGTGAGAAGGCCCAAACATACTGCTAGCATTTCCAGGCAGTTGATGTGAAGCCGACCCTCCTCTTTCGACCAGTGGCCGAAAGCCACTTTGCCATCGCACAGCACTCCCCAACCTGTGTTGGAAGCGTCTGTCGAGACCACCTTCTTTCTGCAGACCATTCCCAAGGGCATGCCCCGTTCCATCCACTGATGGTCTTTCCAAGGGGCCAGAGCTGCCACGCAGGCCTGGCTCACCTTGACACGAAGGCGTCCGAGACGCCAGGCGTGGGGCGGAACACGCGGTTTCAGCCAGTACTGAAGGGGCCGCATGCGAAGCAGGCCCCCTGCTGGAGACTAAATGGTCCCTGATGATTTTACACCTAATTATTCACCTTAATTCTTAATTCTTTTGCAGTTATGTATTTTCTTCTCCACCCGTTTTTTTTTTCTTCTGACCCCGCTGACCCAATGAGCATTTTGCTGTCCAATGGTCATGCCTTAACTTTGCAATTGCTGTATTGCATTAGTTTTGAATATTTCTCATGGGGATTTTATGATTTTTGACTTTTCATTCCGAGTTAAATCTCTTTTTGTGGCTCATTTTATCTGTAAAAGAAATGTGCCTAATAATTCTGCACACCTGAATATAAGGAGTTTTTCACTTCCAGCCTTCATGGACAATTATATATCACTTATACATGATTAAATACAAAATGAATAGTAGTTATTAAGATTGATGTGGTTTGGAATTGGTAAAATGTGCTTGGAAAAAAAAAAGATCAGAATATCAACGTGCCTAATAGTTATGCACGCACTGTTAGGATGCAATGCAGTACAAGAATGATTGAGAGATGAATAAATAAACGTTCCTCAAAAGCCTGATGATCATATTTGGTCCTCAGATTTTAACATGATTTTTCTAAAAAAATATTTATGGATAATCAAGTAAACCTAAGTTGCTTCTGTCCAGTAAGATATAAAAATATCTTGAAATATTAAAAATGTATAAGTTATTCTTACATTTACTTTATAAAAGTCTACAAAAATCAAGGGGTTAAAAGTGTACTACGATCTAAAGGTGTTTTTTTTTTATTTTTTTTTTTTACAATGATACTAAAAGGCCTTTTACTTCACTAAAACTAAAATATTGAATATGATAATACGAATATTGTGTATCAAATATGACACTAAGTTTTATAAGGCTAAGCTCTGTAATACTTTTTGGGGCCTTTGTATTCATTTTCAAACCTTTCCTATAAAGTGTTACACTTTGCATGCAAGTGTACTCATGGTTAAAAATAACATGGATTTTTGTCTTTCAGATACTCCAAACAGCCGGACCTATTCTTCCCGTCCCAGCCCTCAGAGTATGTATTTTGGAAATCCGGTTGTTTTTTTTGTTTTGTTTGTTTTTTTTTTCTTCATTTTCAAACAAAAAGTAATTTTATTTGTTGTTTGTTGATTTTTAAATATAAAACTTGAAGTGATTTATGTGTCGGTACTTTTTGAACATCTCCAGCACATTTTAACAATACCGTGATAATACTGATAACTGTGATAATTTTGGTCACTATAATCGTGATAAGAAATGTTCATACCGTTACATCCCTAGGGTGGAGCATCCACTCATCCGAGGGGACATTGCTCTGAGATAGCATGTCTGCTCTCTGGTTCAGCCTGCCCGGCACATGCGTTGCTCTCGGTGAATGCAAGTTGAGCTGAGCCTATTCCAAGAGGCGCTCTACCAGAATGAAGAGGCGCTTCGAGGAGAGACCGCCCTGGTGATTTATATAAGACACCATCGTCATGCTGTCCGAACGGACTAAAACGTGGTGTCCCCTCAGGTCTGGCAGAAGGGTGAGAAGGCCCAAACATACTGCTAGCATTTCCAGGCAGTTGATGTGAAGCCGACCCTCCTCTTTCGACCAGTGGCCGAAAGCCAGTTTGCCATCGCACAGCACTCCCCAACCTGTGTTGGAAGCGTCTGTCGAGACCACCTTCTTTCTGCAGACCATTCCCAAGGGCATGCCCCGTTCCATCCACTGATGGTCTTTCCAAGGGGCCAGAGCTGCCACGCAGGCCTGGCTCACCTTGACACGAAGGCGTCCGAGACGCCAGGCGTGGGGCGGAACACGCGGTTTCAGCCAGTACTGAAGGGGCCGCATGCGAAGCAGGCCCCCTGCTGGAGACTAAATGGTCCCTGATGATTTTACACCTAATTATTCACCTTAATTCTTAATTCTTTTGCAGTTATGTATTTTCTTCTCCACCCGTTTTTTTTTTCTTCTGACCCCGCTGACCCAATGAGCATTTTGCTGTCCAATGGTCATGCCTTAACTTTGCAATTGCTGTATTGCATTAGTTTTGAATATTTCTCATGGGGATTTTATGATTTTTGACTTTTCATTCCGAGTTAAATCTCTTTTTGTGGCTCATTTTATCTGTAAAAGAAATGTGCCTAATAATTCTGCACACCTGAATATAAGGAGTTTTTCACTTCCAGCCTTCATGGACAATTATATATCACTTATACATGATTAAATACAAAATGAATAGTAGTTATTAAGATTGATGTGGTTTGGAATTGGTAAAATGTGCTTGGAAAAAAAAAAGATCAGAATATCAACGTGCCTAATAGTTATGCACGCACTGTTAGGATGCAATGCAGTACAAGAATGATTGAGAGATGAATAAATAAACGTTCCTCAAAAGCCTGATGATCATATTTGGTCCTCAGATTTTAACATGATTTTTCTAAAAAAATATTTATGGATAATCAAGTAAACCTAAGTTGCTTCTGTCCAGTAAGATATAAAAATATCTTGAAATATTAAAAATGTATAAGTTATTCTTACATTTACTTTATAAAAGTCTACAAAAATCAAGGGGTTAAAAGTGTACTACGATCTAAAGGTGTTTTTTTTTTATTTTTTTTTTTTACAATGATACTAAAAGGCCTTTTACTTCACTAAAACTAAAATATTGAATATGATAATACGAATATTGTGTATCAAATATGACACTAAGTTTTATAAGGCTAAGCTCTGTAATACTTTTTGGGGCCTTTGTATTCATTTTCAAACCTTTCCTATAAAGTGTTACACTTTGCATGCAAGTGTACTCATGGTTAAAAATAACATGGATTTTTGTCTTTCAGATACTCCAAACAGCCGGACCTATTCTTCCCGTCCCAGCCCTCAGAGTATGTATTTTGGAAATCCGGTTGTTTTTTTTGTTTTGTTTGTTTTTTTTTTCTTCATTTTCACTTGATATCACTCTTCTCATGTTCCATATAGTCCATATTTTTATTTATTTTTGTAAATCATGACTGACTTCACTCGTGCCCATTTTTGTGCCATTTGCATGGCTTTCAAACCTTGCAGGTTTGTTAAAACCTTTAAGTAAAAACCTTTTGCCTGAATACCTGACACTGACCTAAATTTGTTAGCTGTATGTAGTGCTCTTATGTGAGGCTAGCCGGTTACGCTCTGTTATGAGAACATTGCTGTGTTCTGAGAGAAACTGGACGTTGTGTTCCAGAAACCTACACGTGTGGAGCCTGTGGAATTCAGTTCCAGTTCTACAACAACCTCCTGGAGCACATGCAGTCCCATGCTGGTGAGTGAGCCCAGAAAATGAAAACATTTTCAGCTGTGAGCTCATCCAAATTTGGACTCACTCTGTTTTGTTTACATTATTTCTTTGCATCACCACTTGGGTAACTGTTTTATGCAAAGGGCACATTTTTACAGACTGCATTATGTGAGCACTGCATAATATATCGAGTTTGTTTTCATCATGTGCTTTTTGCTCTGTCTGATCAGTAAACTTAACATCTTTACTCGTGCATGGAATCTGCACCTGCACAGTTCCATAAAAACTCAAAACTCAATCATATTGCCATTTATTGTCATTTATTTGTTCAATTTCCCACTCCCAGCATACCCGTTTGTTTAACGGGTTAGTTCACCCAAAAATTAAAATTCTGTCATTGATTACTCACCCTCATGTCGTTCCAAACCCGTAAGACCTTCGTTCATCTTCGGAACACAAATTAAGATATTTTTGATTAAATCCGAGAGCTCTCAGACCCTCCATAGACAGCAACACAACAGCAATGTTCCCAGGTTCAGAAACGTAGCAAGGACATCGGTAAAATAGTCCATGTGACATCAGGGGTTCAACCGTAATTTTATGAAGCTACGAGAATACTTTTTGTGCGAAAAGAAAACAAAAATAACGGCTTTAAGCGCGTGCCTCGTGGTACTCTCTACATTAGCAATGCACTGCTGCAGACGGGATGAGGAGGAGAAGAATTGTTGAATAAAGTAATTATTTTTGTTTTCTTTGCGCACAAAAAGTAAAAAAAGGTCAAATTATTGATCATTGGGAACTCTATATGATGTATAATGGGTAATTTTAGAATGCGCAGGTCAATTACAGATTTTCTGTCAAAATCATCTCAGAAAATCTGAAAATTGTTCATTCTGCATGTACCTTGATCATTTTCATTTGTTTTCACCCCTCAGTGTGTTTATCTTGTTGTTTTTCAATTAATACCAATGCTTTTCCCAAGAATGAGTACATAATGTGTTCTTTCTTCCTTCTGTTTTAATCCTCTTTTAGCTGATAATGAGAACCATGTTAAAGATGAGTCTCCGAAGCCATGCCAAGTGCCTGTAGCCACACAGGAGCAGATGTGGAAATCTCCTCAGCCGGCACAACAGAGGAACCACATACCATCTTTTCGTGAGTTCTTTCTTACAAGCACTACCAGAATCCATTCAAACTCATTTCACAACACACTTGATTAAGTTTATTATTTGCTTGGGCCAACAAAGTAAAGCTAGTAAAGCTAACCAGTTTCTATGTTTCTTGACTGCTGTTGTTATTAACTTGGTTATGGTCGCTCAATTTTCAGTAAATTTTCAGTTCACGTTAAAGTTAACATTTGTTACAAAGTAAATTAATGTGGGTGCCCTTGCTGATTTGCTACGTTTATTTGGGAATCAAGGAAGTCTCTGATTAATCCACAATGCACACTCCTCAAGTTTTATTTTCAGATTTATAAGAGGCAAAAGTGCCATACGTGTCCTCTCTAAGAAGTTAGTGTCGCTCTTGTATGTGCCCCAGAAATTTTAACTGCATTTTTTGTTTTGATGGGTTGCAGCTGTTGCTGTTGCTTATGGATGTTTTGTAACAGTTAACTTGTAGAGATAACAAAGCTTAATTCATTTGTCTCATTCTGCTTTTGCAGAGAACAGATTACTTCCAGAAAAGGAGAGACAACAAGTAGCTGAACGTTTACTGAGAGTAATGTGCGTAGACCTTGGCCTTCTTGGCGTCCTCAGCAGCAAAGACTTCCTGAAGCTTGCACAGACCCTGGTGGACACGGGTTCACGTAATGGGGCCTACTCCATTCGTGAAGCCCTGGGAGATATGAGCTCACTGGCATTAAAACAGCTCCCCCGTATGTACAATCAGGTCAAAGTAAAAGTCACCTGCGCCCTGGGTTCCAACTCATCCTTGGGCATTGCAGTGACCTGCCATTCCCAGACTATAGGACCAGACTCCTGCTATTTGCTGACAGCGTATCAAGTAGAGGGTGTGCGACTCCGGCGCTACGTCCTGGGACTCAAGGAGGCCTCGTTAAGGGAGAGTCCTGAGCAAATACACCACTGGGTCCAGAATGTTCTGTCAGAGTTTGTCATGTCGGAAATCCGCACAGTCTACGTGACAGAGCCACGCTTGTCTTCGGTAGCCTTTTGCTGTCGCACCGGAATTGGCCTTCGTTGCACAGGTTGCTCTCTAACAGCCACAGTTCAGGCCGTTCTCGGTCGCCGCAGCCTGCAAGCACGAGGGCTCCATGAACTAGGAGAGCTTCTGGCTACATGTCGCGACATTGCTGCAACGACCAGCTTCAGTCAAGAAGGGAAAGCTGCAGAAGAGCCTGCCGCTCTGCCCTGCTGGGATGCAGTTGCAGAGGCCTTGCTCAAGGTACACGAGAACTTTGAGGCCACCTGTGAAGCGTATGGCCGTTCGAAGAGCACTGTGCCACTCTTGCAAGGCCTGAACAAGCACCTGCTTGGCACGCTTGCATGTTTGCTTGCGCCGCTAAGACAGGCAGCACAGGAACTGAGTGTGGAACACTGCCCCACACTCCAACACGTCCTTCCCGTCTACCTCCGTCTCGAAAAACTTTTCACCTCCAAAGCCGGTGAAGCGGGTGCTGGCAGTAAGCTCTGCCACTACTTCCTGGAAGCCCTGAAGGAGAACTTCAAAGTGGAACGCGTCCATCAAGTCGCAATGATCCTGGATCCACAGCTTAAGCTGCGGCCAGTCCCTGCGTACCAGCATGAGGATATTATCTCAAGGGTGTGTGACATGGCGGCTAATATGAGGGAATCAAGAAGCAGTGGTTCTGGGGGTATGTCTGTGGACGAACGGGATAGCGAAGGACCGTCAGCACCAAAGCGTGGCCGCCTGGACTGTGGATTGGAGAGGCCATCGTGCGATGCTGAAGAGCCACAGGTACGAAAAGAGTTGTTCCAGTACCTCGGCGAACCACTCTTCAATGGCACAGGTGACCTGTTGCAGTACTGGAGTTCGGTCATGGACAGATACCCCAGGCTGTCGCGGTTAGCACTGTGGTTGCTGGCTGTACCGGCTGTAGCTGTGCATGGAGAGTGCGTGAACATCTGCGAGGAGACCTTAGCCATGAAAAGAAAGCAGCAGGTCACTGCGGAGGAGATGAACAAGCTGGTCTTCCTCAAGAGCAATTTTGCTTGAGATGGCTCAGGACTTTCAGCTAATGGCACCATAGACTGTTTGAAATGGAGACTTTTTGAACCAGATGTACCGGTCACTTCTCTTTACCCCTTCCAAAAATCTTGTTTTACCGTAAGTGTCCATCAATGAGGCACATGATAAAAATTTACCAAGGAAAAAGGTACATTGACAACTAATTCACAAACACCCCTTCAGACCATACAGTAGCTTGACATTGGCAGTGGCAACAGAAGCAACTCGATGAAAATACAGTCTGCGCGAGGACAAGGACGTGAACTTGTGTTTTCGATGTTTCGGTTAAACTATCGCTTAAAATTGTGATGTGTTTTTATCAGTATGTGGTTCATCCATCTCTCTTTTCTTTCTGTGGAATCCATCTGAAATTTAGTCAATGGATTATTGAAATCATACACAACATACTTTCCATCTAGAGAAGGAAAAAACGGGGTACTTAGAAAAAGCCATTTCTTTGCAATTACGCCTTTATGAAAACCACAAACACTCTTTGCTGTGACATCCGAACGATACCTCTCTTTAGCAGTTTATCAGAGGGCAGATCAAGCTTGTAGAGGTGTAAGTCTTGTTGTAGGCAGGCCCTGATTCAGTAATCTCAGTTAACCGGTTTGAGTGTGTTAAGCTCTTGTTCAGCCTCAGGAGTTTAAGGCCAGCAGAACTTAAAATTTATACTTGGGTCACATAGATAAATGATTTTGCAATTATTTATTTTAATTATTTTTTGTCAGTTCTCACAATAACGTTGCAATAAATGTTCCGTAGCAGAAGTTATACTATCAAGCTGACGTTGATGCCTTGCACCTTTGTAGCAGCCTTTTTTTTTCAATTACAGCTCACTGGGATCATTTCCTTCTACAATACAATCTGCAATACCTGAAACAGCCACTTAAACCCCAAGATTGGATCCCCAATAATATTGGGTTATGGAAGTATATAGGAATGATCTGATGTTCCAGTCCAGTGGATCTGATTTATTTATTTTTTTATTTTTTTTAATTCAGATCTTGTTTCTGAAAGTGGGAATAGGGCTATGAAATACAGAAACTGTCTGTCTCTCACTGTCTCGGTACAAACCACCTTGAACAGAGGCAGCTAACTGCATTATTGTTTGAATGCATTTTAAGAGGATAAAGCTAAACAAGTATTTCATTATTTATGCACTGGATTTCTCTTATCATTATTTTCCTCATTTATCTACAGCAGGTAATTAGATTAGTGATAACATTAACTAGAATAAAATCATTGCCTAGATTAGGAATAAAGTATCTTTTAAAAGTAGTTTGTCATTGTGAATAATTGCCATTTCCGGACAGATTTGTAGTTTTATCTTATAATACTCGTGCTTCCTCATAACGGTTTCGCCCTCATAAATTTCCACTGCCTTTGAACAACTGTTCATTTCAAAATTGTTCTAGTAAACAGACAGAATTAACAATTTTCACTTCCATAATAAAATAAATGATCTTCAAGAGTATTTTGCAGTAGTTTTTCCAAGGAAAGATGTGATTTAGTATTATATAGTTTGTCTTGTAATGCCTTGAACATCTTTGTGTGATTATACAGATATGCATGCAGACAATATAAGAGTTTTTTTTTTTTTCTTTAATAAAGTGGAAGAGATCTATAGTGCATATGTCAGTGTTCACACAACAGCAGAAATACTGTTGTCAGTCCTATTTTGAGTGCTAAATAAGGTTTTGTTCATGTGCAGATCTCCTTATAAAAGAATGACAACCGCATTCTCTAACAATAGTGATTGACTTAGATTTTCTGGAGTCAAAGCCAAATTTTGAGGGTTCAGTTATATATGCTGTAGGACTAAAATGGCAGTGAAGTAGTCTATCACATCATTGAAATGGGTAAGCATGAGGTGTGCGCTTTGGGCTGTCGACCTCTCTCAGGTTATCTAAAATGGTGGTATCGTGTAGTGAAAGAGAGAGCGAGACAAAACTCTTAAGTATTTAGGAAATAGGCTTACAAGGGGGAAAAAACGGTACCGAAGAGTTTTTGACCACATATATGAACAGTTCCTAATAAATTTGAAATCCTTAAAGTCCTTTATAGTCTATTGACTATCATCATCTGTTCCTATGGTTACAGGCATTATTTGCCCTACGTAGAAGGGAACTGACTTTGGTTACCTGTATAGACATTGTAGGTACTCTGCTGTTGTAGGTGCAAGACGATTTGAGAATCACACCTGCTGGTAAATACGGTTGTTAATCCCGCACACACCATAGAATTTGTTTATTGCTATGATAAAACTATAGCGAACAATTGTTTCGGCATTTAACGGCTGTGAACAAGTTTAACCTATTTGGTGTCCGTTATGTTTGACCAAATATTAGCGACCAAAGACGCATTGTGTCATGCAATTTTACCTAAACCACTGTTGACAGACGCTTGGTGTATTATTCTTGTGAAGCTGCTGCTTTTAAACTGCACGCTCTTTGCAGTGTTGCCTGCCTTTTCTGCTTATCCTTCTTTGTGCTTTTGGGCTTCCCATTAAGGTCACTAAAAATATGAGCAACAAACAGTATTTGTTTTTGTTTTATTTTTTAATGTGAGAGATTCAAGTGAGTCGTCAACAAGAAGTTTAGTTCACTTCTTTTTGGCCTTACTTTTTGAATTTAATGTTAATGTTGTTGTCACTACCTGAACATTTTTACAAGTTAAGTCGGTTGTCGAGTGGATTAATGCCTCGTTCCAGACGAAATCAAAGGCGGGAAACTGAAATTTCCCGCTTCCAACCTCAATGCCTTCAGGTCAACCACTGTCACTGACTCAGTGTGAGCAATTCGTGTTCCCACATCAATGATGAACAAAAACAAAAGCAAAGAACACTTAATGCTCAGGTTAGCTTGTTAAAAACAAGCCAGAATAAAATAAAAATAAAAATTGTATGTTATACATTTGTGTAATATACATCTTTGTATACCACATTGTAAACTTGATGTTGCCCTGCATGCGCTCTTAAGTCACCGCCATCTTTCAACTTTTTTTTTTTTTTTAAAGATTATGGTTGAATACTAATGTCCAACTTTAAACGCCGTTCCAGTAATTTTATTCCCAAGTAGGAGGTAGGGAAGAGTTCAGATCTATCTGAACACAAATAAGCACTTCAGTAGAGGAGTAACAACCGTATTTAGCTCCAGCGTGTACGTGGCCATTGTGTGAAGCTTAGTTCATACAAATTCGATCTGCTAAAAAGAAAAGGAGCTGTGATGCATGTTGTTTGGACTTGGTATCTCACATACCCCAAAATACAGATAATGATACTGGCTAGCATGTGCAGAAATGTTCATATGTATATATATATAAAAAAAAAAGATTTTGATAAACCTGGCCCAGAAACAGCTGCTGTTGACTATTGTCGTCTTTTTGTGTAACCACAAGAGGGCAGAAGTGTCTCAGAAATCTGTCTTTGCAAAGAGTCTCCAAACATCTTACCTCTGTTTTCTAATCAAGCATTTCAGCTATTTTGATAAACTCAGTCTATGAATATGTCAGACTTCATGAAGGTTTTCCTTTTTTTTCCTTTTCCCTGGGCGAATGTGTACATTTTTGGGGAAACATGAAAGCTGGTCAAATGCAAAATGCTCTTCAGCAGCAGGCAAGTTTTTCTCTGAAAGTATAAAACACTGTTTTAATCACAACTATTTATGGGTGTACAACAATTAGTAATATCGTTTATTCTGTTTGGTTGAGATCGTTTATTCTGTTTGGTTGAGAGGGTCCCCCCAGTCCAGCCTACATTTGTCTTTGACCGGCATTTTTCTGATTTTGTGTATTAAGTTGTTTCAGCTGTAGGTCTAATTTATACTTTTTTAACAACACTATTTTTCTAAACATGACTGATAGAGTTTTTTCTCTCCGTATCGACTGTCAGTAGTACACTGCGCTGTTCTAAGAATCTATCTACTCCTGTAGTATGTGCTGTGTGAATAAAATATCCTCAAACAAGCAAAAAAAAAGTTTATAGATTTATTTTGGATAGTCACTCTTTGTATTGCATTGCTCATGTTACAGTAACTGAACTTAATGGGGAGTTGTTTTAAAAAAAAAAAAAGCGAGAGCGAGAAAGAGAATTGTAGTGTGGTGCGAGTCGTGCATTTACGCTAAACATTCTGACAACAAGTGCACTTTAAAGGGGTCATGAAATGAAAACACAAAAAGTCTTTATTTACACATGTAAGAATTTATTCTACCATACTGCTAGTTTCATACTTCGATGCAAACTCCTGAGTTTAAAATGAGTTTTTGTTTCAAGAATGCCCCTGTTGTGAGGTCACAACATTTTCCTCTATGTGCCCCTTAACATGCATATTCAAATTAAGGAGGTGTGCGTTTAACAACTCATGTCTGTCCAACACTTAACGCTATTAAGACACCAAGTGTATCATCGTTAGCTTCTGCTAATCAAATGAGTACATACGCTGATTTCCAGGCAGCAATTGTGTTCTGGTTCAGTAAGTATACTTTTAGGAAAATGTACAGATAATAGATTTTTGCAAGCAAAATTAACACGCTGAATCAGACTGTTGAAATCATTGTGATTGCATTGCTTCATTTTCCTCAGCCTCGGAATCTGACTCAGGTTCAAACATACTATGTATGTGTCTATAACAGTGCCGGCCATCTTGAGCTTTTACATTCGAGCAATTACATTCACTGATCACAGCAGCAGTATTGACCTTCAAACTGTGTTTGACAGTGAAAATGAGGTTTTATTTTATATTTATTTTTAGTTATATTGGTTTAGTTATATTTATTGTTTTATTTTATTAATATTATTTATTATTATTATTATTATTAATAAACTTTATTTAACTTCAGAAACAAATATCTGAAAATGCATTTAATTTTAATGCAGTAAATTTCCTGAAAATTTCCATGGGAAGCTAATCTAGAGAATTTTGGAAATATTGGAACTGTAATAATACTGGAATGGTAAAAATATTTTACAATTGATGCTGGACAAATGAATAGAAATGAGCTAGATGAATACAGTCATGGCCAAAAGTTTTGGCAGTGACATCAATTTTGTGTTTTGCAAAGTTTGCTGCTTCAGTATTTGTAGATTATTTTTTCCATGTTTCTATGGTATACTGAAAAACAATGATAAGCATATACGATTTAAAGGCTTTTATTAGCAAAATAATATATAATGAGTCACTATTTACAGTGTTGACCCTTGTTCTTCATAACCTCTATCCATGCTGGATATTAGCTTCTGGGCCAAATCCTGAATTTGTGGGCTTCTGCTTGTCCACTCGCCTTTTGAGGACTGACCACAGGTTCTCTATGGGATTGAGATCCGGGGAGTTGCCTGGCCACGGATACTAAATTTCAATGTAATTATCTTTGAGCTACTTCTTTCTCACTCTTGCTTTGTGACATGGTGCTCCATCATGCTGGAAAATACACGGATCATCACCAAATTGCTCATGGATCGTTGGAAGAAGTCGCTCTTGCAGGACGGTTTGATACCATTCTTTATTCATGGCAGTGTTTTTGGGCAGAATTATGAGAGAGCCCACTCCCTTGGTTGAAAAGCAACCCCACACATGGATGGTCTCAGGATTCTTCACTGTTGGCACGTCACAGGACTCATGGTAGCGTTCACCTTTTCTTCTCCAAACAATCGATTTTCCAGATGTCCCAAACAGTCGGAAGGGAGCTTCATCAGAGCAAATAACTTTGCACCAGTCTTCTGCTGTCCGCTCCTTGTACTTCCTGCAGAATTTCAGTCTGTCCTTAATGAACACCACAACAGCTTAAGCTGCAAACTTTGCAAAACACAAAATTTATGTCACTGCCAAAACTTTTGGCCATGACTGTAGATCATGGGTGTAGAATATGCGTGAGATTTTTAATAACACGTAAATTTGTCCCCAACACTTTTTTTCAGGCAAGTGTGTTCACACAGAGATTTTTAAGGGCCGGTGTGAATAAATATAGATTTAAATTCAAAGAGACAGGATAGTCTGTGCATGACCTGATGTTTTATTCGTATCCCGAATGAGGCGATGTGAACATCATGTTTGTCATGAAATCTCTCTGCTTGTATGATAAAATTTATTTTTAGAAATGATTAATTTTATATTTTATAACACTGAAAGGCAAATAGTCGAAACTCTAATATATATTTTTTCCATATACTCTGTTCTCTTTTTGTTTTACATAAAGCTCTAAAATTACTATGCAGTAACAAGTGTGTGAAGTAAATGAGTGTAAATCTAATAAAAAAAAGAGTGTAAGGCTAATCCCAAATACAGTGTTGCAGTTGCCTTTTTCCATGCATTTCCTGGAAATTACTTAAATCAATTTCCATATTTCTAAACTGCGTAGGAACCCTTACTGTTTTAATTAGAAGATATAGACATAACGGTCTTATCAAGTAACTGTATGAAGTTTCGGTTCAAGCTCCGCCTACTTCCGGTTTTATCCGAATACAGATAACAGATACAAATAATTTTGTGATTGTTACAGATACAGATACAAACACTAGCTTCGCTGCACACCCTTAGTTTGTATTATCTGTATTATGATTTTACAGACCTCATGTTTCATCACCAATAGTCCCTAGTTTATTTATAATCTTATTTCTCTTACAGGAATTTGAGTAATTAAAAATCTTAATTACCATTTGCGTTTATAACATGCTTATCCGATAGGGTTTATGTATATGCTTTATTTATTTTTTTGTAAGATTAACAGGTTTTTTTTTTCTAAGGCATTGTTAGATTCCAGTATTTCCTGTCATAGCTATGCAAATATTTGATTTCAAAAACAGTATCGTAGCTATTAAACTATTTCTTGTTATGATTTTAAATATGCATTTAACGGTTTTAAAGTAAGTCTGATTTTGTGGTGGCTGTGCTTCAAAGGGGACATCGGATGCCCATTTTCCACAAGTTGGTATGATGTTCACAGCGACTCGTTTCGGTGCATATCTCTTTACATGCTAATGAGCTCTGCTCACCCCACCCCTCTCTTCTGTGGAAGAGCGAACGCGATTCGCAAATAATCATAAATAAAAAGTGTGCTGGCACCGATAACCTTGCGGGCAGCGTGCCGACATACAGTGCCACTGCGTTTCGGGTGTCCCGTGTTTGAATCCCGACGCGATCTGTCATCTCGGTTCTCTGTTTCCTTTCCGTGAACTTGTTTGCGGATTGCCGCACCTCACATCTGTATTTTGTTCAGTGTGTATAGATTATGATTGTATTTTATTTTTATGGAAACAAATTTTGTTATTTTTAATGTAACTTACATATATTTGCCTTAAATCATCCTGGCGACCCATTTTTGACCCAGGGTTGGAAAACCTAGGCTGTGTAGTTAGGTCCATGCAGAAACTTTTATAGTTGTGTCATCACCGTTTAGTGACGTCATTGAATGTTCCGGGAAAACTGAAGTTGTATAGGCGGGGATGATGTAGCAACCAGGAACTATAAACGCATTTGTGGTGGAGAGAACTGCAGCTTCTGTTGTTCAGTAAGCGCTCTATGTGTGTCACGTCATATTTATTGTTGTACGTCCTGTTTCATAGTTCTAAGCAATACAATGGCAAAATCTGGCAAGAATGTTGAGTCTGACAAGCAGCGTTTCAGGCTGTGTGTTCCTCCCTGCCCTCGTTTCATTATAGGTGGGGATGCACACAGTTTGTGCGTTGCTTGTTTGGGAGCGGAGCACGCTCGGTCAGCTTTCGAGGGAGCTGACTGTTCGCATTGTGTTCGTCTCTCGATGTGGATGCTCCACTCCCGGAGAGTACTCTTTGAGGGTGCTCTCGCCAGCGTTCCCCGCGGTTCGGGTCCTGCCTCTGCCGAGGCAGAGCGGCGCCTTAAATCGTGGGTTCACAGCTGGATCTGGCAGAAAGAATGGAGATGGGCACGTCATTTTCTTCTTCACCTGCCAGAGCTAGCGCTCACTCTCAGGAGACAGAAGCACGTTCTGAAACTGTTTCTTCCACCTCGGAGCTCGGCGCTCGTGTTATCTTCCTCTGAGGAGGGGGGTGACGCAAGCGCCGAACGAGACAAGTCTTTGGACTTGCCACCACAGTCTGTATTGTTTGAGGGGCTGTTGGAGGTGGTGACTAGAGCTGTGGCTAAATTAAAGATCGATTAGCCAGCAGAGAAAGAGAGTCAGGAGCGTCCAAAAAGCAAGCTTGATGAACGCTTCCTGCGCTCAGAGTCACCGCCTCCGCACCGGGGTCTGCCAGTATTTCCTGATCTACACACTGAGGTGTCTAGATCGTGGAATAAGCCATACTCTGCCCGCCTCTTCAGTCCCGATGTTTCCCATTAT